CCCCAAAACCCCAAAACCCCAAAACCCCGTAATTAAAAATTATGCATATTATGCTGAAATGATTTTATATAAAATACGGTAGTCGATTATAAAGAATTTTTCAAATCTTTGGATTTCGTATTGACATTCATCTGATAAATGGACAAACACAATGGGTTAATAGAGGCTATCGAAGCTTTCTAGACAACCCAAAAACACCAATTTCACATGCCATCACACTCGGGAAGGTATATCAACTCAGATTTTAAAGGACTCTTAGACTAATCGAATATCTAAGGTTTCAACAGGGCAGCTCGGCGTGCCTTTAACAATGTCTAAGGTCTTGAGTTTATTGATGGCTTGATCGGGGATCTCGGTTAACTTTATCATGACGCTTTTTCTTCTAAACTAACCCTCTATCTTTAAAATGGATAAACAGCTGGCAATCATATTGTTAGCCTTTGTTTAGCAGGTAAAAATGTTCTCATTTAAAGCAATACTCATATTTCAGTCCATTCAGGGCTTTAACTTGCAGGGTCCAAAATTTACTTTGTCTAACCTGATTATAACTAAGAATATGATATATTTCTTCCAATAAGACCTCATTAAATTGCTGAAATTCTCGATGAAAACCCAGAAATAAATGCGATTTATCTAACAAATCCAACTATCGATGGTCTTTGTTTTGATACCTAAGAAATTAAGAATTTAATAGGAGATAGGTTATTAATCATTGATGAAACTCATGGTGCCCACTTCTATTTTAGTGATTAATGTCCCTAAGCAGCTCTTACTTCAGGTGCAGATGTCTCTGTCACGAGCGTCAGCACCACTTTAGGTGGTCTGCAAGGTACTGGTCTGCTGAATATAGGGAGGCAGTCGAAGATTGATGCTGGAAAAATAAAGAGTAATTATTTCATGCTCGGCACAACAACTCCAAGCCCCCTCTTAATTTGTGATGTAGAGGGTACTGTTAAAACATTTTCCTAAAATGGTAATAATCTCATTAATGATGCAATAAAGAATGCATGGAGAGCAAAATAAACTTTCAATCACATTGACTCAATAAAAGTTTTTGATCAAGATGGAGTCCAAAAGGATCCAATTAAACTTATAATAAGAGTTAAGGGAATGGGCGGGCAGCAACTAGCGAAAAAATTGCATGATTTAAACATTCAGGTAGAGAAAGTTACAAGAAAAGCAGTACTACTGACAGTACACTCGCTAATACAGGAATCTGAAATTGAGCATTTCGTGGCGGCAATGACAGAAATAGCCAACACGTACTCAGGAATCGATGATGAATCAACTCCTGAGTTAGCTGCTCAATATTAGGATCCCCTAATTAACAAAATTCTTAACAAAAGAGAAATAGTTATGGATATCAGAGATTGCTTTGCCTCTGAAACTGAAACTATTCAACTTCAAGGTGCGCTAGGGAGGATTAGCGCTGAAATTAAGTACAAATGTCCCTCTGGAATCCCTGTACTTCTCTACGGAGAAAAGATATAAGAGAATCACATACTACTGTTCAAAGAAGCTAAAGAGTTAATCAAAGTTATTTAATAACTTTCAGAATGAATTCATAAGATTCTAATATTCACAGCTATTAAAGAGATCGAATACATTGAAGTCTATGATTTTCAAGATTAAACATATAAAATTTAGTTTTTTCTATCTCCCATATTTTATATAAGTCATTCACATGGGGTTTTGGGGTTTTGGGGTTTTGGGG